ATTCAAACCTTAAAGAATGAATTGGAATATGTGAAAATATCTTCAGAGACTTGGAAGTGGTGTGCTTCAACTGTTATTGCATGTGAAATTTTATTCAATAGCATGGTCTATGGCAGGGGGTTTTTTTCCAGCAGGAACTCAGTTACTGCAACTTTCAGGTAGGTGCCATTGCCATTATAAGAGAACAAGGTGAGTTCTAGCACCTCTTTTTATAGAAAATTAGCACTGGTCTTACAATTGTGTGGAATTGTAAGCTCTGAGCGGTACTCAGAGAAAACCCAAATAGCTTCCAACAAATGTTTGGATAGAGTCCACAACAATGAGAGCATATTCTTCCTCCTCTCCCCACTCTTCACATGAAGGAGAAAGGGATAACCAGAATGGAGTTTCACTGGCCCTTATATAAAGCTGATTGGAAGAAGATGCAGAACAGACAAAAGAAAGTACTTTTCCACACAGTGTATAAGCTCTCTGTGGAATTTGCCACCGCAAGAGTCTACAATACATATGCACAGTAGCAATTCAAAAATATGTTTCATGGTGTCCATTTTAACCCCCGAACTTATCGTCAACTTTGTTACACATAAAGTAGATTTTGTATTGCTATTTTACAGTTGAATGAAACCAACATTGTGTGTGTTCAAATCAGTATCACCCTAGTTGCTCTTTGAAATCAGCTTCAGTGCAGATTATCACTGTGGCATTGACAAGGGGCTTTGCAGGCTATTAAGTGGGCCTGCAAACCCCACTTTTGGCAAGGAGCTGCATCACCCACAGCTGACTTCATATATGATGTCAGGTTAAGGCAGGTAGCTGAGGTTTGGCTGGAACAGCTTCATGAGTGAAATGAAGATTGTCAGGCCTAATTAGGCTTGCAGACTGGAATTTTTACACTGCTGCATTAGGGTCTCATAAAAACATTTCAGTTTTGGTGGGCAGTTAAGCTGCAGCTGAGTGTGGTTTGTTCTACTGTAACTTATGGGTGAGCTGGGAGTCTGGTGGACCTTGAGTAAGAACTTGGTAGCTGAGAGGGTGGATGTGTCTGAATTAAAATGAATTGATATATTACCTATATATTAGTAACTTTTTATTGATGTAACATTTTATATGTAACTGTCTATTTTTATAATATTTCATTTAAGTAGTCTGTTGTTGCTTCTGTTTTCTTAGAGATATTTTTAATATATTAAGCAGTATAGAAATTGAATCATCATCAATCAACTTATGCTATTTATTGTTATTGCCTTGCTTATGTGTTGATTTTTTTTTTACTATCAATAGACCTTTGGTTTAATTAGCTTTGCATCCATATAGATATGAATGGAATTATTCTTTCCAATGAAAGAAGTTTCCAACAATATATCCAATAGATTGATTTCCCAAACAGGTGTGACCACTGTATCACCTACCTTGAGCACCAAAAACACATGAAATCATACTGTTGCTGCTGGAAGATTAAAGTGCCTGTGTTTGACATGTCATAAGTTACAGAAGTGTACTCTAAAAGAAGAGTGGCTATTACCCAAGCTAGGATTAAACTCTGTGATGAATAGTGTTTAGAAAGCTACAAATATGGTGGCTACATCTAGGAATGATACATAGTAGGGAAAGTTCAATATATTAAAATAGCAAAATCTTGACATCCCCCTTAAGATGCTTTTGTTGACAGAAAAAAAAAGAGGTGATCAGAAAACAAAAAGTGGGGGAGATAACCTCAGAACAACTCCCTAATAAACGAGATAAGTAAAGAGAAATCAAGTTCCTCAATCCCCTATTTAACATCAGTAATAAGGAATGCAAAATTTCCCATATTTTACATGTTTTAAATTTCCTTCTATAACTCTAGTGGTCCTAATTATTCATTTAGTAAATCGACTTCATGGAAATATTAAACACTGACACAGCAGTAAAGGGGTTAGTTGCAAGGACTATTTGTTTAATTAGAAGTTTAAGCATGAACAGACAACAATTCAAGATACAATGGGAAAGAGATCTTGGTGTGACAATTGAGAAACAAAAACAAGATATATTGTGCTTTTCAGTGAAAAGAGTATTGTTAAGTTTGCCGGTGTAAGAGGCACTACATAAGTTACTGTTTCAATGGTATCTGACACCCACTAGGCTGAATAAGATGTTTTCAATAACACAATTTAAATGTTAGAAGCGTAGCGTTCATCATACAGATGTCATCAATATTTGGTGGGAATGTCAGATATGTCATAATTATTGAATTCACATTTTAACAACCAATACAGACACTGCAGGATACAGCATGAGTTTTAAAGCAGAATAACTTTATAGAAAATATTCTGAACTTTATAGATTCTGAACAGCTGTGCATCTTTAATAAGGAATCTATTTATGCAAAAATTGTCTGGGCACAACATTAGGGAAAAATAAAGCCCCCATCAAAAAAAAGGAATTATTTTTTAAATGTATTGAAGAAGCCAGGATACACAGGATAAAGTGATATTCCCTTCAAAAAAATCATATAGCTGGTAGTCAGGCTTGCTTTCTAAAATAGAGGAATGCTAACTGTGGCTTATGAATGCCAAACAATCCTTTTATTTATCTTCCCCAACCCATTTTTCCTCCATAGAATTATCTTTGAATTATAATTTTTTTAAAAAATAAAATGTCATTTTGCTTGGCATTTTTAAACACTCGTTTAAATGTAAAGTGGATTAAAACAAGGAGAAAGTAAGGAATGCTCATAAACAGGCATCACACACAAAAATTAAAAAGCCCCTTTCACTGAGTTTTGTTTTGCATGATGGCCATTAACCATCATTATTATCAATCTAAGGGATGTGCTTGTTTTTCATGACTGCTTATTAAGCATTCATTTTCCTCTTTTAAAAATAAAATAAAATAGAACTTTCAGGATTTATTGATGTCAAAGTCAAAGGGTTGTTTGTTTATTTATTCACTTACTCTTTTTATTTTTATTTAAACTATATATAAATACCAAAGCTACCTAAGAGGTGTACATAAAAATTTAAAAGTATACAATACATAAAAATTTAAAAGCATACAATGGATAAAATTTATTCAAAAACCAATTCACTTTATTTAAATGCCAGCTAAAATAGAAAGGCCTTTGTCAGGTGCCTGAAGTTCAATAGAGCTATTTCCCTCAACAGCTATTCCCCTTACTGAGCTACAATTCCCAGATTTTCATGGGAAGTGGGCTAAACAGTTAAACCGTTCTGATAATGTAAGGGCCATTGCACTTAATTCTACAAAATGAAGTACAAATGGATTTCCAAGCAACTACTAGAATCCCTGTGTAAATTGAGAAGTGCGACCCATTTTGATAATATTGTATACTCCACGTTGCATCAACACCATGAGGAGTTGGATAAAGAAGTCGGATAAGGAACATATGTTTTACTAGATTCAGTATCTTTTCACCAGAAATACCAAGATTGCTTTGGATGCTTACAAGAAGAAAAAAAGCTTAATGTCACATCTGAATCTATCAGAGAACTCTAAATGGCAGTAGACAAGCAGAGACACATTAATTTGTCATTTCTTAGCACCAATTAGTAATTAAATGGTTGGTTTAGGGGCTAATTGAATTTTCCATGTGCTGCTTAGCATCACTTCAAAGCCATTATGGGATTTAAAATACAGACCCATGTCGTATTTTCAGATGCCTGAAGATATGCAAGCAATTTTAGAAGACCGATCTTTTTGTCAAGGTGGCTGCTAAACCATAGTTTAGCACAACAAGGTCAAGACATAACGATTTACAGGTTTTCACATCCCCACCTCCCTTCTCCTCCACCATGGCCATGAGACATTGGGAAGCTTTTCCTTCCTGTAACCATTAACCATTTTTTTACAGTGTCCCTAAACTCTAAATAATGTTGATTATGGTTTGCTTAAACAAGTCAGCTTCTTAAGAACAGAAAAGAGTTCTAGCCCATCTAGTCCAGCATCTTGTTCTCACCATGGCCAACCAGATGCCTTTGGGAAGTCCATAAGCAGGAGCTGAGCACAACAGCTGTCTCCCCGGAAGTAGCTGTATATCTTAGCTATTCTGGCTAGTAACCACTAGCCTCACACTCCATTGCCCATGGGCTTAAGCTGATTTATTTCCAAAGAACCATAGTTAAAATTGGCCACCGTATTTTGGTTTTGGACAACAGGGCAAACAGGGCAATTAATCTAAACCAGAAAACCCCCCAGAAATCCTTCATACATATGCATCTAATTCTCATCAGGCTAAACAAGGGATGTCAAAATCAGCTTCATTTGCTGTCACAGTGACATTACATATCCAAATTTTACTGAGTGCATGATGGTGTCACTGTTACTAGAAAGAAGGTACACTGGAAACAAAAACATACATACAAAACAACATGACAAAAGCCACAGCTGATTAAGACTACAAACAGCAACAAACTAGTGTTATACAAATATGGTTTTATATATCATTCAGGTAACATTTTATCCATCTTAAAAGCTCCCTTTTGCACCAAAAATATTCATTATGAACATCTGGCATTGTCCTACGATTAATGCATCTTTCCTCATAAAATTACGATTCATTGTAGTTTACCCTGCTTTGATTGAAAGTATTTTGTGATTTAGACTATGAACTACAGCCAGCCCCTATCTGATTTAAGCTACCAAGTTGTAAATTAATATGGTGCCACATAGTGATCCTAATGGTATTGAATTATCTGAATCTTTTATATAATGGGTGGAAAACCAAATAAGAGATACACTCGGTTAAAATTCAAAAAGAAACTATGTGAAAGGGAGTTCAGATGTCTCTGATCGAACACACTGAATCTAGATAACCCCTACTGCAAAAAGGCCCTGTTAGACAAATGTGCTATGAAGTCTTTCTGCTTATTTGTTGTTTAGTTTATTCGACTTCTAGCCCATCATACCTCAGGGGTTCATGAAAATCAACAGGTGTTTTTTTTACCCTGTCCCTATTCTTAATCCAAAAATGAGTGTGAATTAGTGTATAAAACATCACCAATACCCTGTGGGATAGCTCAGTTGGTAGAGCACGAGACTCTTAATCTCAGGGTCATGGGTTGAACCCCACATTGGGTAAAAAGAGTCCTGCATTGCAGGGGGCTGGACAAAATGATGCTTGTGGTCTCTTCCAACTCTACATTTCTGTGATTCTACGGTTCTATGAAACTTGACCCACCAATTTAATGAGACTTTTCACTTCCATGAAAGTGGTAGCCATTTCTCCTGATTCTTTGGAACACGCAGGGGTGTTGACTCTTCCCAGGGCTTCTTTTCATCTGGAACTCACCAGAACTCAGTTCCAGACCATTGCCATTATAAGAGAACAAGGAAGGTGTTTGTGGTGAGTTCCGGCACTTTTCCCCCCTTGAAAAATAGCACCGACTCATCCTATAATCATAATCACTATGAAGCTGGCCAAGGGGAGCATGAATCTTCCTCCTTTTAACTTTTAAAACCCAATCCTTGTGTGTTCTGCAGCCTCCCTTGCCAGCATATTCACTGGAAAGCACAGAGTGGTCATTAAATCATGATCTCTTCCTACATGCATTCCATGTACACATGCTAGATGAGGGGTGGGGAGTGTCTGCAGTGTGCTAGAGGGATTATTTTAAAGTTCAAAGAAAGAACACTCACATCCCCTGGACACACTGCGGATAACGTTGCTGGATTCCTATCAGGCTCAGCCAGCATGGACAGTGATCAGGGGATGATCGGGCCTGTAGTCCAACAATATCTGTAGGGCCGATATTAATAAGTAGTTTCCTGACAGATAAATATACATTTTTCTAAGTCTTCAATTTAAACTTTTCCAGATTTCTTTCTAGAAGTTACGCTCTCATTATTACTAGAGGGGGGAAAACGATTGACTTTGCAGTGCTTCTTCCTGGTTCTTTTTTTACATCAGTTTTATTATTTGGGTCAACATTCAGAAAGAGGTAGACAAGACATGATGAGTACATAAGCATATAGAAGAATCTTAAATGTATGAATTACAGTGGAACCTCGGGTTGTGGACATAATCTGTGACAGAGGCATGTCCATAACCCGCAGCGTTCGCATCCTGAAGCATCGCATCTGCGCAGGCGCTGGCGCGATTTGGCGCTACTGTGCATAGGCGAGCAGCGAAACATGGAAGTAACCTGTTCTGGTACTTCCGGGTTTCCCATGGTCCACAACCCGAAAACATGTAATCTGAAGTGTCCACAACATGAGGTATGACTGTATGAATAAATCTATCTCTTCAAAGTGGTCAGGAGAAGATGATTTATTCACTCAAGGACTATCCTTTATAAACTTAAATCTCTCCCAAGTCAAGAAAAAAAATCTATTTCAATCAGCTACATGCTGGGAACAGATGATTTATGTAGCCGTTTCCAAAGATTTCTTCTCAAAGGTAAACTAATAAAAAAGGAAAATCAGATTACAGTCTATGATGGGGTGGATTTTTATTAGAAAATATACTACCTTGTTGTCCAGTATTATCTTTGTAATATTGTCTAATGCTGCAAGCTTTACAGATCAAGATAACAGGTAGCAAAAGAGAATAGAATAGTTTTGGGTGTGTCACTGTCCCCATGGAGATTCCACTGCAATTAGTTGCCAGATAGCTGCACATCTATTGAGAAGTTACCACGTGGTTAAAGAACTGGACCACAATTCTCATATTTCTATTGAATGGCTTCCTGGAAGAGCAGGCAAGGACAATCACCTTCTGTAACTATGACATCAGGAGACAACTTCATGAAGCTGTCAGATGACAATGCCCTTTCCAAGGGGCTCACTGCAAACCCCACGGCCACATTTTTTCTGTGTACAATTACGCAAGAGGTGACATCACACCACCACTTCCAGGGGCTTTTTTTAGTCAAACGTTTTCAACAAACACAGTAAGGGCCACACTTTCTAGTTACTGGGATATTTGGTGGTTTAAAAGAAAGATATTATGAGGAAAGCCCTTGGACTACCCTGTAAGTTCTTCAGATCAATTTCAATCTGTTAGGAGCAGGTAGCTTTTATTAGGATTTTTCCTATAATTTCTACATGGAGTTGGGATGGGATAGACTTGCTGGTAGTGGGCCAGATCAAGGCTGTTTCATCCACCCCTGATTGCAAAGCTGTAGAGCTACCACAGAGGATGCCTTCTTTCTTGTTCCTGTCAGTTTAACTGCTCCTGGAGCTGGCAAAACAATAAATTCCTGATCTGACCATCTGGCTCCCAAAGGTACTCAGGCAGACACATTCTGGACCAGTAGAAGTTTACAAGCCATCTTTAAGGACAGACAAGCGTACAGTGTATTTCATTCCTACTATTAAATAAAAAATAAAAGCAGTGTAAAATATATAGCCTATATAAACATATTTTAGTAGCTACTTGTCTGGCACTGAAATGATACCAGGGTGAACCTCTCTGTTGAGGGCTTTACACAGCTAGGGTGCCACCACCGAAAAAGTCCTCTAGTTTCCACCCACTGCACCTTACCTGAGAGTGGCAACTAGAAAACAGGATTTCCACCCACTGCAGAACTTTTCACCCTACTTCTTGGCCTTTGGCAACACTCTTCTGTAGTTTTCCTGTTTCCTGAGACCCGTTCTCATTTAGCTGCGTAATCTTGTCTCAAGTTGCTATGTGAGAGACAATGTGGAATTTTACTTCCAGTCAAACTGAATTCCCTCACATTTTTTTTTTCAAAATCCATGTTCCGTTTCATTTACTAAACAACTTAGTCTGATTTGGACACGCTCAGTCAAACTTCCAAGTAACTCCTTAGCCACTGAATTCCTTAGCTGGATATCCTTAATACAGCTGTATATAAAGGTAACTGCATTTTTCAAAACACTTCTTAGACCTGAGCTAATTGAGAATACAGTGTAGATGTAGTAGTATGTCACGCACGCACACATGCACACACACACACACAGACACATTTTCTATTGTGCGTTACACAATTTTTGCTTCAGAAATCCCTATGTTCATGAAATTCCTTGGAGAGGTACCTCATCATTTATTAATCAAAAAACTACAAGATAAAGGCACAGGTATTAGGGGATACATCCCTGTACTCAAACTGAAATATATCAGTCTTCTGGGAGAGTTAGTAGAGATCTCACTCTTTATGTCTTAGCCTGCCTTGGTTCTTTCTCTGGAGGCAGAGAATGGACTATACTGTTAGTAGCCCGTGGGTTTTATACACTTTCAAATATATTTTAGTCATTATGGAAGTAGTCCAACTTGTATCCCATTTTGAAACGAACTCATGTCCCATAAGCAAAAAGCCAGCTATTAGATGAGAAAGGTATGATGCCGCTAAGATAGGCTCCAAATGAATTAAAGCTGTTTTAACAAACAAATCTATGGATCCGGCCAGCCTCTAAAAGAGAATTATTGATGCTGTGGGAATCAACAATAAGAGCAGAACCAAAGATCTCTTCTATGTCTTACATGTCATAAATATTAAACAAATGCTGTCTGTTACAATGAAGACTGAATATGATTTTTCTTTAAATCTGTCTCCCCAAAGGACTCCAGTATGCATTATAAAATACTTGTTACAAAATTATCAAGTTTGATGGGCAAGGATTATTATTATATTTATTTATATCCCGCTCATTTCCCTGACAGGGGCTGTAAGTGGCTTACAAATAAAACAGAAATAGCTAAAAACAGGAAAACAACAACATTAAAAACAATTAAGCATTAACAGAATTAAAACTATCTATCTGATCTATTCAAACATTTAGATCATTACAAAAATGATTTCCACACCCACACACCATCCTCTCATCCATCATTGGTCACAAAGACTTTACCAAATCTCACCCTCATCAAACACCCACTGCATTCAGGTCTGAACTGGAGGTACAGAAGAGTCTCTTCAACTCCCGATTCAGATGTTGTGACTCAGGGGAAGAAGTAAATGAGGCAATATGGACTAATAAAATTAACAGCCTAAACTTCACACAGTAAAATTCTGGGCGGGCACAATATGTGGATGGATAGCTGTTACTTGATATTCAATACGCTATGGCTGTGTTCAGCTGTATTGACTTCGTGTTGCATCAATGAACCTAGAATTTGTCCCTTCCATTTCCCTTTCCACCCATAGTGCTGCTGCAAGGAAACTGGAAGATTTCACTTCCATTTTTAACTAACTGCTGTTTACTGTTGTGTCCAAACCAGGACAAATTGTGCTTAGTCTTAACCAGTGGTTTTTTTAAAAGAAAGAAAAGGTCCTGGTACTCACCATGAAGTTGTTACAGTAAGTGCCATACTTTTAACATGGGGGGAGTACTGGTACTGAGTACCCTTGAGAACCCTCAGAAAAAGGAACGGTCTTAACCATGGTTAGTGAAACAAGCCACCTTCATGCCATGGTTTGTGGAGTTTTGTTCTCTTCCATGTGGCTATTCCAGCGGAAGATGGGGTGGGAGGGAAGCAAAAGCCCAAGGTCAAAGTTTAAGATTACATCTAAACCAGGTTTATACTGTCAAGAGCTAGCTGCTATTTCATTCTTCTCTTGCCCATCTATCTAATTCCACTTAGTAATTATGCAACCTTATTTGCAACTTCATGCCACAGAATTTGTTTTCATCTTCTCTCCCTATGCTTTGAATTTTCATTGTGTTGATTAGTGCTTATGGTTAGGGACCCATTCATTTTACTTTTTGTCTTCAAAGCATTTTAGGCACTTTTTATTCATGTATTGTTAATTATAACAACAATACATGAAGAATTCCAGGAGAAAGAGGAAAGCAGGTGAAGTACCTTTGAGCTGGACTGTTTTCTCTCCTACATTGGACCATCTACCACTGACTGGTCTGATGGCTTGCTATATTTTTATACTGTTCATTCTGATTTTATTAATGCATCTTGATTTTACTTGTCTGTCACTTTAGAAGGATTTGTATCTTAAAAGATGGAAGGATGATGGTACTGCTAATAATGGTATAACAACAACAAGTAGCAGCAGCACAGAGAGAAAAACAAAGTCTATGAACTTAACACAATCCTGACTTACCAAATGGTCCTCAGATGTTGCAGCCTAAAAGTTCTTTGTCTGTTGCAGCTATCTGGAAAT